TATCCCGAAGTCGTATAAAATCATCCTGCAATAATAAATCCATAAAATAAAATTTCTATTTATTTTATATTATTACATAAAAAATTATACTCATGTGAGCTTTTCTCGACTTCTCATCAACCCTCTGGTGATCATCTTGATATTGGTGAGTTCTCATATTAAGCTCCAGTAGTGTCGGCTTCTAACCAATATTCTCTTTTTACAAATAGAAACTATAGTTAAAATAATGTACATATATTTATTAAACTAATTGAAATAATCTTTTACCAGTCATCGTCTATGTTCAGTATAAGGCACTGAAACACCGGTATGAAGAGATCTTCCTAAATCCCGAAAGTCAGATGCTTTATTTTGCTTATTCTACTCTCTCAATTTGGTGAACTCAGGATTCGCCCAAGCTCTGCTCAAATCAGCTCATGCTCTATCGCCAATCCATAATGGATGTTGCCCAGACTTTCTAATGTCTGTGAATATGTCCCTAAGATGAGTATATCCTCTCCTCTCAAAATTTGTTATGATCCTCATATCATGCTCAGGCAACCACCTAAAATCTTTCTGTAATACACATGAAATAAAAAATTTGAAGTAATGCAAAATAAATATATATGAAATTCTTTAAACTACATATCCCTAATTTCCTTTGGGATCTTCTTCCATGATAAGTAAGGTTGGCCTATATACTTCAAGTTTACCTTCTACTCCCTCTCTAGTTTTATCTATAAGAAGACTATCAACAGCAAGTATAAACCAAGCTATATCCTCTTCCAAATTTCTTGTGAGAACATCCAATGTTTAAAATTGCGTATTCGGGTATTGAGGCGTTTTTCTTTCGTGAGGCGAGCCGTAAGCCTCAAGATCAAAAGATTGCGTAAACATAAGATGATAAATTTTCTATATACTAATGAGTGAATAATATAAAACATAAAAAAGCATAAGATATGAAGTGAAATCAAAATATCCCAATAATAAGGCAACATGAAATATAATTCAACTCAAAATTCTATCTTTCCCAAATCCTAGTATTCTTTTCATTAACATATAATTCTAATTTCCCAAAATAAATAGCAATGACATATCACATAAAAACTCATAAGTCATTAGCACTGTCATTATTAAGGGTTCTTCATTTGAATCATCATTATGATGAACTGCTCTCTCCCCTTCCTCCTCTCCTATAGAGTCCAATGTCGGGCATTTACTTCAAGATTTATGAAAGTTTTAATATATATAGCGTGAGGCGTAAGCCTCATGCCAGTGAGGCGAGGCGGGCCTCAACCAAGTTGAGGCGCAAGCCTCATAAAAAAAACACAAGGCGTAAGCATCGAGGCTTGTTTTAATGGAATTGCTCAAAGGCGAGCCTCATATTGCGCAATTTTAAACCATGAGAACATCCATGACTAAAGAAAAAATTAAGGAGATGCATGGAGATCACTTTCAGCTAAGGAGGGCAAACACGAGTGAGGGAGTCAGGCGAGGGCGTTGGCAAAGTTCCGCCTGCCGGCCTTCTCTTGTCAAACTGAATGAGCATCGAGTGCAGAGTTTAGTGAGGCCGTGCGTGTTCTCTGAACGAAATAAAATGAGCCAGGCGAAGAAATGAGGAAGGAAGGGGGGCTCAATTTTAGGGCCCTTTCCGACGGATTTTCTAGCGATTTTAATCGCTAGAAACTTTTCACTTAAAAATGATGGCTAAACCGCCGGTAAATGCCGTCATAAGAAGAGAATACCAACGGCAATTTCTGTCATTTGACTGCCGAAAGTTCTGGTGATTTTGTGTTTAGTACCGGCGGTCCAACCACCAGTTAATAATGGCGATCAAACCGCCGTATTCAATTAATTTCTTATAGTGAAATAGAAATTTAAAAATAATGGAGCATCAAAGCTCTCTCGTGCTTGCAAACCCTAACCCATTCTTGACCTCAAGCATCGAGAGTAAGCCATTCTCTCTATAAGGACTTGTTAGGTTTATCGCCATCAAACAATGGAATTATGTGAGTAGACCATTCTTCTTCTTTCCTATAACTAAAAAATTTATTCAATATCTAATAAGATTAATATTAAATTATGTTTTTAATAAAAATTTAAGATAGATGGTGCAATTAAGTATTATATTGTTGGTTTCATTCCACAATAAGTGTTATTTCAACTTTTAAACCATTTATATAAACTAATTTAGCATATTTAGTGAGCCATTGATTTTCAAGGAGTATATATGTGTTATCCATTATTTGAAATTCAGGCAATTCTTCATTAGTGATTGTTAATTTTAAATTAATAGTAATTATAAGTATTAAAATGTTTAATGTGATAGAAATAACCAAGGCTTGGGGTTTGAGGGGTGAAAATTCATGTTTTTTATTTTCCTTTGTGGTTAACATAGTGTCGGACTTGGTGAGGCCTTGGCATGGAGCACTTAGGAAAATTGGGAGAAAAATTAGTTTTGGCTGAATGCTACGGTGTTGAGCAAAGACCTTACTAATTATGGGAGAATATGGAAGATTCTCTATGGGTGTTGTGGCATTGGGAATACGGGCTTCGCGACACTAGACCAAACTATTGCTTTTTAATTATCAAAATATCTCATTCTATTTTGAAACCAAATTAGTTTAGCCACCTTATCAAAGAAGAAAAGAAATGAGAAGGGTGGAAAGAGAAGAAAGGAAGGGTTTTGAAGGCCAAACTTTGAATATTGCCCATCTAGTTAGTTGAAAAAAAATTTCGGACCTGAGGTCGACAACTCATACCCTATTTTTGATTTTAATTCCGAAGTGTTTATAAAGAAAAATGCTTTTAAATGTGTTTTTCATGAGTTTGAGAAGCTTTTGCCAGATTGACTATAAGAATGTAAGATTTCACCAATTGGCTCGTTTTGTATGAAATTATGATGATTCTAAAAAATGGTGGCATTTATAAATCTCTGTACAGTTAGTAAAGTGCATTAATTTATCATTTTATATATCCTCTGTGAAATTTGTAGAAAACTTTATATAAGCACCTAAAATTTTAGGCTTTTGATAAAATTAGCTTTAATTTATATACATGCTTTGAATTTCTTAATTATATATTGCATTTACATTATCATGTATTTCTTAACATTCTGGAGCTCTATTGTAAAGAAAAGTAAGTATCGTTGGAACTCATTGATGTGGGCCCAATGTCGATATATCTCTGTGTTTTGTTATTCTATTATGTTCTGACTCTAAAATGGCTATGATCTGCTCCTGCTTCAGACAAGTGGGAGGTGAATGTTGGGAGTTATATGTGGGCATTAAGACGTGCGTTCTGCATTCATTTTTATATGAAAAGTGGTATACTCAAATTGTAAAGTAAATGATACTTTTTATTATTTTTTTTATTTTTTTATTTTATATTTTATATTGTGAAGTGAACTCTATTATGGGGGGAGGGTGGCATACTGAGTTTTATACTCACCATGTTGTTTATAATAATTCAGATAAGGCTAAGAGTTCTTCTGAGTAGACTGAGTCTGATAGGAAGTAGGATATATGATTGTGAAAAGGTACACATACTTTTATAGTTTAGATTAGATTTTAATTTTATTGAAATTATTGTAATCTGGATTATTTCGATTTAATTATTTTAAAAGGAATATTATGTATATACTCTCTAGATATGCATTCTTTATGGTTTGAGACGATAGTTAGCTGTTATGAAATAATAAATTACAAGAGTATATATTAGCAATTAAATAGGAAAAGTAGGTGTAAATTTCTCTTAACAGGTTATACCAATTCTCTTGGCAGTCATTCACCACCAGAGCAGATTTTCTTGCAGTGGAATTTAATTTGATGATTTCATGTTTATGTGATAGTTTTATTTGTATTTCTTTAGAGTTTGGGTAGTTTTAATTTCGAGTTGTCATTTTCAATTTCATTCTAATTATTGTTGTTCGTATTTCATTTTTATCGTCTTTATCATAATTTTATTAATAAAATGAAATGTTAGTTCACTTTCTATTTGTATCTCTTATATATCATGTTTATATTATTTGTATGTGAACTTCTCTTGTGGGTACAATTTTGTTTCATATCTACTCATCATGTCCCATATTACTGAAGTGTATCACCTTTCAAATCAAAGGTGTGATAGAGTGGTATCAAAGTCATATGTTTTATTTTTACTATTTCTTATTTCCTAAGGATTGGGAGCTGAGATAGATCAATTATCTTATATTATTTATTTAATCATCGTTATTATTATGATTATACGTATTTTTTATTTATTTTATTTATATTTACATAAAATGTTATTAATGTGAAGAGGTAACAGTCTTTAATCACCCACCTACTTTTAATGAGATGGTTAGACTATTTGAATAGGATGCATGCATGACTGCATGAATATGAGAAGTGATTGTTAAGTTCCCAAAAGAGTATAATGTGGTTATGACTGCTTTCCAATTATGTACGTGAATGTGTAAGAAATGGTGGGATAGCCACCTATGTAACAGTCTTTAATCATATATGGTAGCTGCATTGGTAAAGTATAAAAGATTATTTCTGGAGCAGTACTTTCAACGGAAGACTGCACAAAACTGATGAACAACTTAAGAAAAGTAGAGGAAGGAATAAAGACTATTAAGGAATATGAATCCAAGTTTGTTAGAATCATCATATTTATTCCATGTATTAGAAAACATGTGCACTACTAATAAATTAGGCTTTTACATCACATTTTTTAACCTACAGCAGCGGTTTAAACAGTTGCAATATTATTTGAAGCGGTTTACAAACCGCTGCACATCCGCCGCATCTGCTTTCGTTGGTAAGGCTTTAGCAACGGTTTTGTAAGTGCTGCTGTAGAAAGGCTAGCGGTTTGGAAGCGGTGCTATAGAGATGCTATAGCAGCGGTTTGGAAGCATAGCTATAGAGATGCTACAGTAGCTGTTAGGAAGCGCTGCTATAGGAAAGCTATTGCATCAGTTTTAACAGGTGTTAAAACCGCTGCTAAAGGGTATGAGCGATTAAAAAAAATATAATGTGAAAAAAATCATTTTTATTATTAAATAATACATAAACAATGTCAAAATTGATGCTTCAACATATATAGAGTTAAATGAATACAACCAGTTCTCAGTGGCTAATACAAAGACTTAAAATATACAGGAGTGAATACAAAAAAAAAAATTTACTAGCAACCACAACAGCTCATGTGATCCAACTCTCTCTTCATCAGTCCCTTGACTAGCAATCACTTGTTCAACCCTAAACCCTTGCTTGATTAATCTGAAAAGAAAAGAAATATAAGCTTATATTAACTACAAAGTATATTATAATTTTATAAGAATATAATATATTAAAAAATTTATACTTGCTTCAAACACCTTAAGGCAAAACCTCTACGCGTGCTGAGGTAAGAAAAAGTTGCAAGCAAAGAAATGTTAAGCCTCACATCCCCACGGACCATGACAGATTTTTGAAATCTGTTGTTAGGAGATGCCTGCAGCCATCAAAAATACCTGCAACCATCACACAACTGCATTCAGTCGAACCTCCCACGCCAGCATCGGTACACATCAGAGTTGGTTTAGCAGTAAAAAAGTAGTGTCAGATAAAAGAAATATCAACCAATAATCTTGAGAAGCTTAAGAATACAAACAAACATTGCTTTTTTCCATTTTACCTCTGGCTGGTAATTTATCGCTAAAACAACTTCAGTTACCCCTACCTCCTTCAGAGCTTCAATCTGGAGATGGCCAAATTTGTTGAGGAGTCCAAGGCAAAGTGTGTATGCGCCTTTCTGCAGGAGTTGAATGATGCTGTTAAAGCCAAATTTGTTGAGGAGTCTCCTGAAGCTCTAATAAAAAGAAATCCTTCGTTCTTTTCTCTGTTTACTCTAGTAATAGCGACTCAGGTACCCAGGTATGCTAGCAATCCTTACACCCCTTTTGTAATCCATCTTGCCTGATGCTATTTCATGATCAATATTTTAAAAAGCATTAGTCTTCCTAGGTGAAGAACCCACATTAAGGTTAATAGTATATTCCACTCGAAGAAGCATCACATGCTTTTCCACTTGAAGGACCCACAAACTCCATAAAAAAGTTAGTAAAATCAGAACTGGGCAATAATGGCACCAATGAAAAGCCAAAAAACATAATGATTATTTCAAATTGACACCACTGAGTTTGACCTGTTAATTAAAAGATTACTAAAGAGCCTTTAAATCAATTCTACTGCATTTTGATAATAATTTATATGTTAAAGAGCTTTCATTAGAGCTGAAAACAAATGTTAGACAAATGAGATTAGTATAAAAGGCACAATTTAATAATATCACAAACCTTTCTTGCCCTCGCCCTGTGCTTTAGCCATAGCAAGAAGTTCCTTTCTATTTTTTCCATTAACGCGAGACATATCCTATGACATGTACAATAAGAATTTTGAGGATTATACTTATAACTATAAAAGAAACATCAATATATGGAGAGTCAAATACCGGAAGAGGATAGCTTGGAGAATTCATGTACAAGGCGGTATAATGGTTGATGCATTGTTTCTTTATTCTTCGTATCAACATGCTCAGCCAGTTCAGCCCAGTTTCCCAACCCATACATTTCTATACCCTCAAAAGCACGTGAAACGGATTCCGTGAGTTGCATTATGGAAACCAGCATAGTTGTGATGGAATACTTATCATATCAACAATGAGAAAATACCTCAAGAAGAAGTATTTCCTCATCTGCGTTCCAGTCCTGACAAATAAGGGGGAAAGACAAGTTGTCCTGCCATTTTGAAAAAAATTATTATTTCAAGTAATAAGACCAAATACATTCTTGAAAACTTCAATCTCAAAATAGCCATCCAAATACTTTTTTGAGTTTTATTCAAGAACAGGATCATAGTATCAATTAATTATTTGGATCCGGTTAGCTAATATGTTTCACAAATCACAACTGCCTCCTAATCTGTTTCACAAATCACAACTGCCTTTTATATATTCGTAATGGCCTTTGCCTACATATTCTCTAACCGTACTTGATCTCTGAAAACTAGAAAATAAATTAAGGAGCATACACAACAAACTAGTACAATCACAAATCTAAGAAAATCAAACAATACTAATGTCACACTGTACCAACAGAACCATGATAGGAAGTAGCAAGTCACCATTTTGAACAACATTAACTTTAAAAGGGGATATAATTAAAAGACTTAAGAGAAAAAAGGATGAATACACCTCTGCTGAAATATTCTCCCTCTATGATATCACTACACACACTAATACAGCTACAATTTCATGTTCAAACAAAAGAGGCGAGGGGCCAAAAGATCTGTTGGTGGATAGACATTTCAACTAAGCTTTGGGTTAAAATATACTTCAAAAAACACAGGAGCTAGTACCACACTCAATAAACCAAAAAAATAATGATACAATTCAAGGGGGTGTCTACAGGTGACTAAATGTACCAACATACATATATGTGTGCTACATGAACATGATTGACATGCATTTACTGAACATAAGTGCATAAACACAAGAGTGCAAGATGCACTGATGCACGCTCACTCGAATGCACATATGCAAATTGATGGAAGAACAATAGAACACTTACATCATCAAGCAACCAAAACTCTTCTTCTTCTTAAAAATCTCCCATTTCCTTGGAGGTTGGAGAACAACTTAGATTGCAATATAAAAACAGATTTGACATTCTAACAAAACCAACATTATGACAATAAATCATACACCTCAAACAATACCTCGGAATTTGCATGTTATATCTTACCTCGGAATTTGCATGTTAAGGAAAGTAAGCAGTTGAGCCAATCTTATGGCCCACAAGCAGATTATGTAAATAAAAAAACATGGGAGTTTGAATACCTCATTTCTCCAACACTTCCATCACCATATTTAGCTGATTACAATGAACTATCACTATGAGCCGAACATAAAATCAAAATTACTATCTAGATAAAAATATTTAAATTACATCGAAATATTAAATTACTATCTAGAGCCGAACATAAAATCAAAATTCTTAAAATATTTCAAAACAAAACATCGTGTCCATTTATGCTGTCTTCCCTTCTTCTACACCTTGGATGTCAATTAGAAGAAAATTGATCATTATCTTCCTGTTATTAACATAGAAATAATCAGTCAAAATGAAGGTGATAAATAAATTAATAAATGAAACTATTTAATTTTTTAATTTTACATATCATAGTTGAGCTTCCTGGTAGTGGATGTTGTCCCTGGTAATTTTTCATGAATTGTCTCACTTCACTTTGCAGTTTTTGCACCACCGCCTCAAGTAGTACAACTCGCTCAAGTGCAATATTGATTCCACTGCTGTTGCCTGGAGTCGTGGTGCTATAAGAGAAATATCTGCTCTGAGTGACACCAAAACCCTGTGTTCGTACCCTCCCTGAGTGTTCTGGCCCCATGATTATCTTGAAGACTTTCTCATTGGCTTCAAAATTTCCATCTTCTAGCGTCAACCCTTCCTCGGCAAGCATTTCACAAGCATGTAACTAGATTTAGAAAAAAATATATACATAGTTAGCATTCATTAAATCAATCATGTGAAATGCTTACGATTTTACCCATTTTTGTCCGGCCTCCTCAGATGATCATGATCCATCTTTATGCTTGCGATTGATTTTTCCATAATAACAGGCGATCTTGTATAAACTACAATAACTGAAATTTAATTTTCTTCATAAAAATATAAACATATTGCTCTTTTGATTACGTACCGTTTCTTCCTGTCTCCTTATACAGCTCACCCGACCCATCGTATGCGGACACTTTTGTTTTTTTGCATTTTCCGCATTTCTTGCTGCCCTCTCCTATAACAAATAATCATATCTTAATTTCATTTTTGAAAAAAAAATTAACACAGTTTATTTTGTTAACTCACCTTATCTTGGGGTTGTGACCACTTATTAACTAGTTTGCACCACTGCACTGGTTCTACTCCTGCAGAGACAGCCTCCATGATCTCTTATACTGGTCTACTATCCCAATGTTCTGCTTTCAAATTGGTTTTATAATTGCGCCACTTGACACCAATAGAATGTAACATCCAATATTTTATATTTGCAGGGAAATCAAATTTAGCCTAAAAAATGTTAAATGATTTTAATTATCAAACAGACATAAATAACATTTGACTATTTGTTATTAGATTTACCTATACTTCAGCTAACATCCTTTTTTTAAAGGGTTCCATGCCTTTATTACGCCAAACTGAGAATGAGGTCGGTGCCAGAATAGAATCTCTAGCTACAACCCCTAAGTATGAACAAAGCAGAATAGACTTTGGTATATTACATGGCACCATATTCTCATTGACTTCAATGTGAACCCGTGTACTTGGTGGCATGCTTTGTATGTCTGCACAAGTAGTTCGGCCTCTCTTTTTTATCTGAGCACCCTCATCATATGAAAAAATAAAGATGTGAAAGGCAATTATATTAATAAATTATTGAAATCGATATATATAAATAAATATTTAAGTGAACAAAAACCTATGAGCCAAATTCCATCCGCTGGTGGCACCTGCCGTCTTAAATATTCAGATGACTGACTCGGGGACTGTTCATTGTTATTGTAGTCATTAGCATTGGATGAATTTGGAAGGACCGGATTCGATGTATTATTAGAAGTTCTACTAGTCTGCTCTACATTGGAAGATCCTCGATGTGTAACCTTTTTAGCACGTCTGAATGAGGCACTTCTTGTCATTTCTATTAGTATGAACAAAAAAATAAGGACAATTATTAAAATATCATACACACATGCAACCAATATCAGCTGTATGATCTAGAATATATTTTAAATCATTATACTCAATTTTATAAAACACCTGAAAGAATAGAAACAAGATGAAATAGATTTCTATAAAAAATTTGGCAGGAATTTGTACCATGATGGATCCTGACAAAATGATCCTGTAATAAAATAAGTCAGGCATATCTTTAGAGCAAAAACCTGATGACACACATGGAACACGAACAAAATACCATCTCCATGTGTGTTCCTAGATGTAAGCAGTGAGATCATTATGGACAGATCCAGTTGATCTGCTAGTGTCACTATGTTTGATACTGGTCTTTATTTGCGTGCTTCCAACATCAATCAGTGACTGAGGATCTTTATGATTGGCAAGCATATTTCATTAAAAGAGTTCATAGTTTCTTGTCCTCCTTACAGGAAATTAACGTGATCTAGTTTGTGTAGATAATATTCTCTGGCATTATATTTTGGTATCATGAAGGCATATTAAATATGTTCATTTTTTAGAAAAGAAGAATAGCTATGTATGCTATTGGTGCATCTTGCATTATCTGAGTATGAGTATTTGAGTGTGTATGCGTGGTTTTTGCTGCATCTCATCTAGAGAAGCCATTTTGTCCTTAAGCATTATGTATATGAAAGTTAAAAAAAGAAGCCATTTTGTCCTTGTTGTTTTTGTTTTGAAGGTTTTCTTTAATATCCATCCAAGTCTGATGCTCTCATGCTTTCATCTAGGTTCCTGAGGTCTTCTGCTATGCTCAGAAGGCAGTGTTGCATCCAACTTCCCCACTTTTTGACTAAGAAACACAATCTTTGAAGCCTAGATGTGTGAGGGCTTTAAAACGGATATTTATTTTATGCGACCATGACAGAGATGGTGCCCTGAGTGATGCAGAATTGAACGATTTTCAGGTTTCGTAATCTTTTATATATTGTCCCAATTGCATCTGTTTCATTAAACAAACACGTTAATCTTGACATCACTCTGTTGCTTTTCTCATCAGGTTAGATGTTTTAATGCTCCTCTCCAACCTTCTGAAATTGTTGGTGTCCAAAAGGTTGTACAGGAGAAAATGCCTGAAGGTGTCAACGAACATGGCCTTACCTTAACTGGATTTCTTTTTCTTCATGCCCTTTTTATTGAAAAGGGCAGTCTTGAAACTACTTGGACAGTTTTTAGAAATATCCTCTCATTCAAGTTTTAAAACTAAACTAATCATGCAATAACTTCCCCCTCTCCTTAACCTTTGGAATTAGGTAAGACCAAATTCAAATCACCAAGTAAAAATAAATCAAGAAGAAGAACTAAAAATGCAGGTTATTACAGGATAAAAAAAATAACAAGAAGATTAGCAAACAAAATAAAATAACAAACTAATATAAATCTTACCCAATGTTTGCTTAATTTTAGGTATGATTCAAGAAGTAAAAGGTGAAGAAGAGAGCGACGAACGACAGAATGGCGAAGTTTTGTTAGAAGGGAAGCAGATGCGTCGGCGTTGGTGTCGGTGTCGCTGTCGGCTTCGTCGTCAACGTTGGATTTGGCGTCACCCTCGGCGTCGTCGATGGTTGGGGAGGAGGCGGCTGCGGAGGATGGAGGTCGCTCATTGAGGAGATCGTGAGAGGCCCAGATGACGTATAAAACGAGCGTCGGCTTCGGCGTCAGCGCCGTCGACAACGGAGATCGCGCTCGGAGAAGGCGGATCGCTCGCGCTCAGAGGAGATCGCTCGAGAGAGGTCGCTTGGAGAAGTTCGCTCGAGAGAGAGTTCGGGACGAGGTACGCTTGGAAGCTAGGGCTTATTTCCAATCGCGGTATTTGGCGCCTTAATTTTCATTTGCGCCAATTAATAACATAGTAAGAAGCGGTTTAAGACCGGTGTGATTTCCTGTCTATAGCAGCCATATTTAATTTGCTGCTAACAAATGCTGCGAAAAAGATATATTTTTAGTAGTGGTGGGATGCCCCAATAATCAAATTTAGAAGAATTATCTATTTTATCTTCTTAATTAATCAACCAAAGTTTCTATAAATCATCAAAATAATAAATCTACATATTTAGTTAAAGCAACTAATAATTATATATCTCAAAATAATTCAATATATTTATTCTCCAAATCAATATACAATAGTAAGGAGATTAGTACAATTACTATTCTATCACAAACTCCCGACTACAAAAATAAGAGAAAATATAAACAAAATTAAAAGAAAAATCTGAGGATCTTTGTTAATCTCACTCCAACTGAACCCTGGCCCCTTTCTAAAAAATATGTAAAACCATAAATTGAGCTGACAGCTTAGTATGTTACCAAAATATACAATTGAAATGAATGCAAGGCAATATGAACAATATGCATGTACTCATTCAATCACTATCAATATAAACATATAATTGTAAAAGCATATAACAATCAATCACATAGTCACATATCATATGATCAATAAGTATCAGTATAATTATAGTAGTGATATGTAACCAATTGAACATATATAAAAGGCCAGTAAACTCTACAATTCATATACCTATTTATTAAGAACAATTATATCAATCTCAGTTCAGGAAATTTGTATACCTATAATAGCTAAATGCATATCACATAGTGTCTATTATATGCATGTACATCATGTAAATCATGTGATTCATATATATCAAAAGACTTTGTATCAATTATATGAGTCTTATCATATATTTGTATCTGTCAAAGCATATATCTTATATAAATTATATCATGTCAATTATGTAATTTATCAAATACATTCCTATCATATGCATATATAAGTGCTATAAGAAAGAAAAATCATCCAACTATCTATGATATTTTTCCTGTATTTTGTCCTGTTGGTCAATCCTACACGAATCAGTCTCAATTACAAGTCATTTCGGTCAGGTGGCTTTTATATCAAAAGTCATCACTTTCTATCCGGTGGCATATCATACTGTATCCTTATGTCTCCCTTTTTATATTATTATTTTAAAGGAAAGTCTGCCAGTCCATCCTCCTATACAGGGTAATATATCTTTAGCCAACCTAAATAAGTCAATCATATATGGCTAACATTTCTTACATACACATATTTCACAACATATATAATAAAATAAACATATATAATAACACGCTCAATATTCATTTCACTGCATCATCTTAATACATATAAAATTTATATATAAACAAAAAAAATAGTGAAATTTATAAGAAAATGTAGTAGCCACTTTTTGATATGAATGTATCTAAAATAGCCAAATTATAACAGTTACGCATGTCATAAAGAATATAATATAGTTTTAATAATTAGTTTACATATTTTTAAATTTATCCAAATTACCCAAATTACAATATTTTCCCTAAATTATAAAAATACCAAATAAAAATTCAAGATATTCCTATCAAAATGCTCATATTGACAACATCTACTACATTCTAAAAATCATGCGGTGGAAGTTTTACCAATAAAAAATTATCCTCGTTGGTCGGTAATAAAAATGTAAATTTAATAAAAAAATATCAAATTATTGAAATTATAAATAGGATAATGATTCCTTACAATGAGATGTGCAAATCTCCCAACATGATCGAAGAAATAAAATTGCTCTACATACTCCAAATCCTAAGTTCTCTTTTCTCTCTCCTCAGTTTTGCTTTCAGATTTCCCTAACTAATCTCTATTAGCCGAAATGAATATGGAAAATGGATTTAAAAAGGTTTTAATGATTTTGCTAGTAACTTTGGATATTTTGATTAAAATAATAATATAATATTATATAATTAATTTAATCAATTCAGTATAAAATTTATATAAATTCTTTTGGGCTTCAAATAGTATAAAAAATATTCATAAAATAATACATTTTATAAAAAAATTTATGGTTATATCAATTTGCAAAAAGGACACCAAGCGGTCTTAAAATCCCTACTTGTACCAACAAATGTCAAATTCATAACGATTTGCACCAGCAGCAAAATAATTATGAAAAAATTATTATAATTAAAACATAATAATATCTATCTTATGAAAAAGTTAATTTTCACTGACTTATAATGACTTCAACAATAATTTTTTAACTGGATTAAAATTTGGTTTATTACAACATGAATTTTAAAAAACTCTATAACTTCCTTCTCAGTTTGAGAGAAGATATTAGGATGCATATTGAGAGAGAAGATATTAGGATACATATATCCATGATAAAATGCATTATATTTAGAGAGATGGTGGATAGTGTTATATATGTTGAAATAGAAATTAATGTTTGCGAAGAGATGGAACATGGGAAATGAAAGAGCACATACATTTCAAACACAAGTGATTCACAAAAAAGTAGCATAATAATCATCATGGTCTTAAGATAAAGAGTAAGCAACAAAAGACACTTTAGATAAGGCAATTTAACTTTTGGGAAATGTTTTAACTATAATATACTGATCACAAAATTAAAGATTGTCCTCTCAAGACTCAAGAGCAATATGATTTGATAGTAACACGAAATAATAATTTCAAACTTCAACATATAAATGGGTAACTAAAATCATTTGGAGGTCAATATCACAAAAAAAAAGGGATATAGTAGGCAATACAATATTATCTTTAGCCTCATCAATAATCAAAAGTAGTTCTGGCACGTCAGCCATATCAATGGCATCCACCTACATTACAGTACCAGCAACCCCAACTTTCAATGTTATCTAAATAATAATAGCTAATGGTATAATATCAACCATCACAACCTCAGCCTTAATAATAGTCATAATAGGCAATTCCATCTTGAGTATTTGTTTTAACCAACAAGAGGCGCACGAAGCTCCTAAAGTGGTGACATATATCATTTATATTTTTAAACAATTAGTAAGTGTTTGTTTAAATCTAAGGCATCACATTCATTCAATTCATATAAATTTGCATCAATCATATCAATATCACATTTGTAATCTCATTTTCTCTATTATTATGCCATCAATTTCATCTATGATAGTTACTCTCAGTATGTTCATGATTGTGACATAAAAAATACATATATAATTTTAATACTCATTTTATTCTCATTCGCTGAGTTTGATGCAATATTGGATGTGGACTAGTTATCATGCCGTAATAGATTATTATAAGAGAAGATGAAATTTTTATATATTTGGAATAGTACTTTTTTAACTTCAATGGTGTTAGGAGAACAATATTTGTTTTAATTTTGAAGTTTGTTTTCAATAGAGATCCTGAAAACTTTTTAACTATCTCTGTTGCAATAGATCTTAAATTTTAATAATCATTAGGGTTCTCTACATCAGCAAATGCATGAGAGTTGTGGAGCTGCAAACACTCATCTTCCTTTATGCCATTTAATCTATATGTTTTCCCTGCCTCTAAATCTCAATGATTCTCCCTTCCATTGCAGCCTGGAACATTTGTACTTTTAATAGCCAAGACAGGGTTCTATGTTGTAAGAATTTGGTTAGCAATGCTAGTTTTGATATGCTCTGTATATTAGAGAATAGAATTAATATCTCTACTCTCTCTGAGCCCTGGTTTCGCATGACCCATTCTATTTTTTGAGAATGAAGATAGCTTTAACAATTTTGAGCTTTTGGATCTGAGCCATACTTGTATCAAATGCAATAAAGCTAGAATCAATTTTGACCCCATTTTTGTTTATGATCAAATGATATGTGGGACTTCTTTTCTGCTCTGTGTCATCTATGCTACTAACTCGCAATATGAGTGTGTTATTATGGGATCATATCAGAAACATCTCTTCATCTGCTTCCCTTCCTTGGGTGGTTCTTGGAGACTTTAACTACTGCAGATTTTCCACTACGAAAGTGGGTGGAAATGAATTTCATAATAGTATATTGTGGGACTTTAACTCTCTCATTTTTTATATTGGTTTGAAAGAGTTAGCCTTTGTTGGTTCTTTCTATACTTGGTTCAATCAACGTGTGGAGAATTCTATTCATATTAAGCTTAAAGAGTCTTAGTGAATGATGCTTGGATGGAGTTATTCTCTAGTTCTTACTACAATGTTTTAAGCCCATCATGCTCTGATCACTCTCTTATTGTCTTGCATTCCCTCTATAGGAGGCAAACTATTCATAAATTTCTTTATAAAAATTTCTGGGCAAAAAGGAGGTTTTTTGTTTTTTGGGAGGTCCTGACCTTTGTTTTTGGAGAACCACTTGATAGAATAATTAAATATAATAATTATGTTAGTTGTTGCAATAATTATTTAAGTATATATATTTAATTATATAAACCATTAAGTAGCCCATATATTTGAATTATTGAAATTTAATTATTTATATTTAAATCCTATTAGTCAAGAAGTTATAATTTGATCAATCATTTATGGACAATTTAATTAAATAACTTATATGAGTGTTTATTATAATTAATCCATAGGAAATAACTACCGATCCTCTCTCTCCCTCATTATGGGAGTTAGTTTATTTCATAGAGAATTAACTCATGAAAGAAAAAAGTGAAAGGGAAAAGAGTGAGAAACCATAGTTCGGAATTCAACATGAATCAATGTATATTTTCTTCCAATTAAAATCTTGTGAAAATTATTTTATTTAAGATCTTGTGGATTTAAGATTTATGTAAATTCATGTTTTCATTTTGATTTTTTTTGCATAATTTATAATGCGAGTTCTTGCAAGAGTTAGATAACTCATAATTCATGTTGCGAGTTCTTGCAAAAGTTAGAGAATTTAATTTTACATATTGCGAGTTCTTGCAAGACTTAGAGAACTTAAATCTTACACCACAAGCTGGGAATCTTATTGTTGATTTCTATAAGAAGTTGGATAAGTTGAAGGATATCATTAAATATAAACATTGGGCTTCTACTGACTCTCCCTCAGTTTCCTACTCTAATTTAAAAGAAAAACAACGGGCTTAGCTTCTTGCAACTTGAGGCTGATCCTTTGAACACCACTTTAAATTCTAATCTCAAACTGATTAACTCTCAAATATTTGAATTTGCTGATGGCTGGTCTTCTTGGACTATCCAACATGCCATAGCTAAATAGTTATCCCTGTTGATCTTGAATTTGTCAAGCCTTTAGTCAAAGGGGTTGACTTGGTCAAATTGACCAAGCCAGGCCCCAAGACCACCTTCTTTAGGTTTCATGGGTCAGACCAAGTCTCTTGAGCTCAGACCCATGCCATGGGTCAACCTGGTTGACCAGGTCAACTTGGGTTGACCCAAATTGACCCAAACTACACATGTTTGATCTCAAATCAATTTCATAGCTTCTCGAGCTCAAATCCCACCCCCCTTGGGTTCAATGGGTCAGACCAAGTATATTGAGCTCAGACCCATGTCTTCGATCAACCTGATTGACCAAGTCAAGACAAGTTGACCCATTGAACCTTAATGGATCTAATTCAAGTTCTAATTCAATCCTAATCGATTCCAAACCCTTCTTGAGCTCAAACCCCATCCCTTGGACTTATTTGACCAGGTTGAGCAAGTCAACCCTTGACTTGATCAACCCAAGTCTCTATTCGATCAATTTGACCTATTTAAGTCCAAATTAACCCTATTTGAAGCATCTAAACCATTCATTTTGCTCCCTTGGTTCAAATCCCGTCCAAATCACTCTTTCACTCTTCTATTTATCCCTAGGATCGATCTTGGGCGTTGATGATAAGTCTAGGCCTTTAAATAGGAGAGATAAGGGTTTATTTGGGATCTTTTTTTGAATTCTCTCTCCCCAAGCCTTCATAGCCCAGGAGATTTTATGTGAGAGTCCCCTTAGAGCTCCTCCATCTTCCTCAAGCCAAAGACTTCCGGTCAAAGCCGTCGGCAATGATCTCCCGGCGAACCGAAGGTCAAAACTTTCCAAGGCTTCTTCCAAGGAGAATCAAAGCTTGGTTTTAATTAGGGAATCATACGAGGACAATCCACAAGCTCAACCGTTCAAAGAAATTGAAGATCCAACAGTTAGATTCCCTTAAAACCCCTAGCATAGGTGACTACACATATGATAAAATAGCTTTTTGAAAAGCCGATTTTAGGCCAAATGATCACCCCCCCCCATGATTTCTATTCATGTTTAGAACTTATATTTAAAATTTCATAAAAATCCATCAATTCGTTTGTGAGAATGAGCAAAAAAATCCTTTTATCGTTTCAGATCGTGCAGGGCTCATGCAATAAGTGGTATGAACGTTGATCTTGCAATCAACGATCCAGATCTTGTCTTTCCGCCCAAGTAGCCGACCGCGGAAGCCCTCAATTGGATCAAGAATTCATCCAACTCAATCTCAACTATTGATCCAGCACAACGCGAGATCGAGCAGCGTACGCCTAATGCTGACTAGTTTAAGTAATAGCGCGTGGGTCCCGGCAGTTAAATGCCAATGATTGCCGGCGGCGCAATCTTTAGAATTTAATGCCAATGTCGTGCAATCATAGGCCGCAACGTCACCTGATAGCCGTTGGATTTTCATTTAAATTAATTTTAATTAGTTTAAATGATTTCTTAATTACGAGAGCTTCAAAAAATTATTAAAAATTTTATTTTAATCCAAAAATTAAGTGTAATATATCAAAATTTTCAGAAAAAAAAATGCCATCTTTATTTTAAAATAAAATTTATTTTTAAATTTTATATATATATTAAATTATTATTAAAACATTCATTTTCATTATTATTATTTTTATTATTATTATATTCTTTTAAGTTTTTTTAAAAATTATTTATTATTATTTTATTATCATTATTATTTTTAAATAATTATTTTATAATTATATTTCTATTTTTTAAAAAATAAAAAAATTATTTTAATTATTTAAATCTAATTAATTATTATTTTTTCTATTTTAAATATTTTTCTTCATTAATTAATTACTTAATTATTGATTAATAATTACTTAATTTTAAAATTTATTTATTTTCCTAAATTACAAAATTATTTTTATTAAATTATTCTAAGTTCCTGAAACTTTAAATTTTTATTTTAATTTGATCTAACAATTACTTTTAAATAATAATTACTTCAAATTATTTTAAAATACCCTTTTAGTGCATTAAACTTCAAAAATTCATGAGTAATTTTTGTTTCAAATTGGATTTGTTGCGTAATAATATCGTTCTTTTTAGAAAATTATGAGTTTTATTTTAAAATTATTTATAGGGGCCAATTTTGCTTTTTCTAGTTGATTTCTATATTACTTGATTAATTGGCTATTTAAATAATATTTGAATAATCATTATGATAATTATTTTGAAAATATAAATTACTTTCAAATTATTTTGAATCCCCCTTTGGGTAGCCAGTGGATCTTACATATAATTATGTATTTATATGCATTTAACTATTTTTTAATTACATTATCTTTTAAACTTATTAATTTATTATAAGTATTTTTTTAAAATTATTTTAAAACTATTTATAATTAAATCACTAATTTTTGGAAGATCCACTTTGTGGGATTTTAAACATTAATAGTTCTTATGAAATGCATCATGGAGAGGTGGATTGGTGGATGATTGAGTCTCAATCATTCACTAATCACAATGTTAATTAAGTGTACTTAGTCTTCTTTTTATCGTTCTTTCGCATGTGTGGGATGCACGATCACTTAGCTTAGGCCCTCCTAGATCTAAGGATTTGGTGTGTTTATTATTTTCATGCATTTCCTCATGGTTCCCTAAGGGTTAGTCTCGAACACTTGATTCAAACCCATTTAATGTAGCGACGCCCTAAGGACAATAATTAAGGACCCATCTAGCAAACTTAGAAATATTATAAGAGCTAAGATAGATCTTTGATTGACATGAAAATTTCAAGATTTAAACTTAGTGGTATCTTAAATCTTCCAGAATTTTCTAGAATTTTTTAGGATCCATTTGACCCCTTAATTAATAAACCCTAATTTACTCATTAATTAGGCCCCAAAAACTTCAGAAAATTCTAATAAATCCATTTTAATTCAAAAAATTTCCCATAATCCCTTAAACTCTCCAGAATTCAGCCCTTAACGTTAGATAATTAGGTTTCTTAGTTGAACTTTAATCTAAACCCTAATTCAATCTTAATTAAAAATTACATTTTTACCCTTATTAAATTATAAAAAATTCTAATTTTTCCAAACATTTGGTAACACTTCTTTAGGTTATTCCTTATCTTTGGAAGTGATTTCAATCAGTTTGGAGCTGATTTGAATCAAAACCCCAAAATTTTCCCTTAATTAAGCAATTTCGATAATTCCTTTAATTGCTCAAAACTTCTAAAATTCATAACTTGGTCTAAAAAACTCAAAATCTAGCAAATGCAAAGCCTAATTACTCCTTGTAAGGCCTAATATTTAACTAAAATGTTAAAACTCCTAAACCTAGCATATTTTCTATAGTGATATTTTGGACCCCCTCAACCTAGCGTATAGGAGGACCTTGGACCTTCTAAAATCCACTAAGGCAACTTAAACTTGAAAAATCACTATCCTAAGTATTAAAATGGATCAACAAATTAAAATTAACCAAAATGGATCCTAATATATTAATATTTAAATTTTAAATAAAGTTTCCTTTTCAGACCTTCAACAAATCTAAACTTTAGGCAACTTGAACTAACTACCCCACATAGGACCTATCCAAAACCACACAAGCCTACTACACACACAGATTTGTTAGGGCGTCACTTCTAGCTCTAGGATTAGGGCCGGTGTTTACTTTTTCTGCTTTTTTCTACTTTTTGTGATGTGATTGTGTGTGGCACGTGTGATTGCTTGATTTATTTTGGTTTGACTTGTTGTAATTAATGTGATGTTTTATCACTATATTTCCTTCTTATGATGTGATGTGTGCGTTAGATTGTCCATGGGCTAGGGCCTCTTTATACTAGCTGAATCTTATGCAGGTGGACACGCTCATGTAGCGCCAACATAAAGGGGGGCCAATAATCATTAAA